ACGCGATACCTCCAAAGCCCATAAATCAGTGGGAACAAAGACTTGATGTAAAGTGTCGCTCAAATATTGAGTCGACATAATTGCTTGGAATATATTAAGATTGTACATTAGGTTTCTCCGGTAATTTTTTTATTTTATGTAAGAGAATGTTAACAACATAGTTATTCGTATGTTAAACTGCATCATGCTCTGAGTTATTTATTTAGTAGTACATTCAGGATGTTAATTAAGTATGTACAATAAATTCAACAAACGATTGAGAGATTTTAAAACAAAAAATTCATATAAACATTGGTCCGCAGATGCATCGTTTTGAAGATACAGGTTGTTACACTTTAAAAAAAATTGCTGTTTCGTAAATATCTTAAATACTCTTTACCCAATTTTGTTGTAATTTGGCAGTGTTATTTGCAGTGTTAATGGACTAATTTAACTTCAACTTGATTAATTTTATTAAGTCCAGTATCATCCCGAGCGGTACCTTAATGAATATTTTTGACAAAAAAATGTAAGCTACTGACTTTTTTGTAATTTATATATCTTTCTGGATTAAGCAGTTAAAAATACAACTTTTTTGTCTCTCGAATGTTTTTCGTATTTTCGTTCGTGTTTTTTTGTAGAAAAAAATAAAATCCACTTAATTGCATATCCCTGGACTACACAAGAAACATGGGGAGAAAATAGGAAATAATTATAAAAATATTCGTTAAGGTACCGCTCGGGACGCCTCTGGACTTAGCCCCTTAACACTACAAATAACACTGCCAAATTACAACAAAATTGAGTAAAGGGTATTTAAGATATCTACCAAATAGCATTTTTTTTACAAAAGTTTAACACCCGGTATCTTCAAAACGAAGCATCTGCGCACCAATGTTTATATGAACTTTTTGTCTTAAAATCACTCAAATAATCGTCTGTTGAATTTATTGTACGTACTTAATGAACACCCTGCATATTAAAAAGGACGAATTTATTAATTTTAAATTATTAATACAGGAAATTTCAAAATATAAAACCAAACTAAAACAGCAGATAGGAAACATCTTAAAAAAAAATCATCTGAACTGATGTAAAGTTAAATAGTTACAGAATGTTTTTAGATTGAGAAATGGAAATTATTGTATCTTGACCTTTATTTAATATACAGGCTGTTACAAATACCAACCCTGCAATGTTGGTTGCCTAAGGTCGGCGGTCGCGTGGCTTGTAAACAGTTATGAAGGCTCTATATTAGTGCCTAGATACATTACCACAAAGTGCCAATGCGGTTCTTCAGATGTATATATAAGATCTTTCAGATGTTTTTAACGCCCTCTCATATGTATCTTACAGAACATTTTCGACTAGAATTTTTTTTACGATTACACTGATACAAAGTTTGATGGTAATGTGCCATCAACCGAATGTTTCGAATTCTTGAATCATTTGGAATGGGCGCGCAAATTAAACGCACAGAATCAGATCCACCCTGTCCACAAAATCACTTCTCTGCAGATTTTCCAAAATTTCTATTTCACTCTGTATAAATGTTAATACTTAACTCTATTTTTATTTAATAATGTAAATAAAAGTATCATGAACTATCCACATTGGAAAACATTAAATATATGTATTAGATCATTACTTGTTTATATTTGCTCCAAACCGAAAATGGAAAAATTAGTACTTATTTATCCTTTTCGTTGATCTTTCAACAGTTCTACGTGTTTATACAATATTATGAAAAACATATTTTAGTTTCAAACCGTGAGCCAAATACATGTCAATTTAATATTCTATGATCTATTATAGATTTTTCGTAATTGTTTTCACTATTTTTTTGAATATTAATTATTGTATAATAACATAAATTCATAAATATCAGAAGATCTAAAAATAGAAACTAACCTAAGATTTTTTTCAAAAACGACATGTATTGAATTTATGAAATATGTATGTAGACTTCAGAGCACACTTGTATTTTTGAATGTCTTTTAATAACAAAATTTTATTATAAATTACAAATATGAATTTTTTAATTTAACATTCATATTAACATATATACCTATAGCGGAATTACCTAAAGTATTATACAGGGTGTAACTTTAAGTGGGGGTCAACATTTGTTGCCCTTTGAAAGATTATACCGCCCACTTATATATATTTTGTCTGCTCTTTTTGTGTAAGATTTTTGGTTAGGCAAAGTTGCATAAGAATAATCCCTGACTGTCCCTTGTAACATAAGGGTTTATTGCCCAGTAGGCAGAGAAAAAACTCAAATTTAGCAAAATGGTTGAATAGAGAATTACAAAACTTTCAAAAAGTTATCGCATGACGTACATTTGTATTTAAAGAAAACATCGATGTCATCATCATTATCACACAGATGACGTCATATGTAAAAGAAATGTCCTGCAGAACGCACTTTTAAAAATGGTACGTAAATATTGACCTGTTTGAGGATTTTTGTCCAGTCATGAAATAATGAATTTATTCCTTTTATGTCCACCATGCTGTCCTATGGTATTATATTAAGCTATACAGAGTGCCTGGAAAGGTAATGTCAAAGGGGATATACAGGAGAGGTCAAAGTAGTTGTAGTACCTACTTCATAAAAAAAAATCCTATCGGGCTTTCTTCTGGAGTTATTCGCCTTCAAAGAAAGACGTTGAATAACAAATTCCAATTACAACTTCTAAGTCGTTACCATAACAACAATGAAATTTGGGCAATTAAAGTAACTCATGGTAATGTTCATTTCCAAGTTTAAACTGATATTCAGTATACCTGGTTTATATAGGAGCAAACAAAATTATCCATTTAAATTTATACATCTTTGACATCGTTGCCAAATTTGACATTTTTCTTTCATAGTTCGATTCCTCTTCACTTGGCTTAAAAGAAGTATACCATATATCAGTCGATATCTTGTACCGTTGTTGAGAAAATCGAATTTTATTAATATTAACATTTTTGTAAAAATTTTGGTTTCTTTGGATATTGAAATGACTGTCAACACATATGTATAATTTGCCATAAATCATTTCGACACCATTTATTGATTCAATGTCTTGGAAGATTTTAGCTATGAAGAATTTGCAGGTACTCATTTGCATATTTGAAATGACGAAAACCCCACGCTTTTATTCAGACAAAACACCAACAAAAATTTATCATTAATGTATGGATGGGAATAATTGGAAACTACCTAGTGGAACCACATATCATTGATAATGCTTTAAATGGAGATAAATATCTACATTTACAGCAAGAACACCATAACCCGTTATTGGAAGACGTCCCTTTAAATATTTGAAATAACATGGCTTATGCCCGATGGAGGGATCAGTCAAGGTAGTCCTTTTCCGCGGCCGCCTCGGTTTCCCGATCTTAATCCTACCAATTTTTTTCTTTGGAACCATCTTAAAAGTCTTGTTTATCAATCACCTATAAATAGTAGGGAGGAATTATTAAATCGCATTCGCATCGATTTCGAGCGATTTCAGAAAATGCATTGAAGTTCAAGGTGCATATATTGAACATCTTACTTAACAGTTCTCTTTGTTCTTTTAACTTTATAGATACAAATATATTTACAAAAATGTTAGTATCACATTTTTGATGCAATAAATTTATGTTGTTAATAAAGTTCGATTTTCTCAAAAACGGTACAAGATATTGACTGATATATGGTGTACCTTTTTATCTAGTAAAGTGAGTGAGCAGGTATATTGAATATCAGTTTAAACATCAAAATGAACATTACAATGAGTTAATTTATTTACCCAAATTTTATTATTGTCATTGCCTTAGAAGTTATAATTGGAATTCGTTTTTTAAACTTCTTTCTTTGAAGGCGAATAACTCCACAACGAAGCCTAATAGGAAAAAAATTTTTATGAAACATTTAGTACATCTATTTTGACCTCTCCTTCAGTTTTGACATGACCTTTCCGGACACACTGTATATTTCTTATAGATGTCATATCTTAACATACATAACTCTGTTCATTTTTAATTTTCTCATGGTTTTTTTTATATATACAGGGTGTTCTGAATGTCCGTCAGGAAACTCCAGAAGGTGATTCTATGGATTAAAATAATAGCAGTATGTAAAGAATTTTTTTTCGAATTGTTAATTGTTTGCAAATTACAGCTTGCCAAAGTACAATTTTTTTTATTTTTCTTTTTAAATAACATCTAATTCAAGTTCGATTAGTCTCTCATTTGGCACATCCTCTAAGTATATGAAGCTTGGACCAGTCAGAGAAAAGTTTCATTAAACGCCGCGAAAGGGCACTTTACCTAGAACTTAAAATTTGTCTACAACTTTTTCTGTACTCACACCAGAACACCCTATATAATAAAAATTTTTTGTCTGGTAGAAATAAAATGGAATAACAAACAAAGTAGTAATGATGACAAAATATGTAATTTTAACGCAGCTACAAGCAATCAAAATAGGAGTGTTATATTTTGTAATAAGGGATGAATATCCAATTTTTTCGTGTATGAACAAATCTCCCATTAGCGACGAGACAAACAAAAAAAGTATTTTATATCAATTTAAAAATGTTATATTTCCTATTATTTTATATTTTCTTGCACTAAGAAATTCGAAATTTCACAATTTTGACTGAAAACCTGAAGACTGAAAAAATTTACCCATATCGACTAACCTGTGAGAAAATCTTTCTTTCACATATTTGAGGAGAAAAAATACATTGTTAATACATTTTTTGCGGCATATGCATTTCTTATTCCTGTTAACAAGCAACATACTTGTTTATGTTACAGAAAGGATTATGTATATTCAGTCTGATAAACGCAAATTTTAAATTCTTCAAATAATTTATAAGCCAAAATATATCATCCAGATTTAGAAAAATTTTGCCATACTTTAAAACTGACTGACATTAAAAAGTTCCAGTTCTTACTCACTTAAACACGTTAGTTTTAAAATTCGTTTTAATTGAATAAAGTAAGTTATAAGAAACATTTAATGACTTCTTTTATAGGTACCAAAATCGAAGCAGGTTTACAAAGGACCAGGACAAGTACCACCCACACAAACCAAGATATTAGCAACTTGCTTCTGGAGTCCCTGGATCCACATCTCAGACCTGCCTCACCTGACTATTCCGATCCAAAATCCGTAGAGCTGTATGAAGAACATCAAAAGCTAGCTGAAGAATACTGGAAGGTAATTGTCTAAATATTCCTATTGATAATTCATAAAAATAATAGCATTTGTCTCAGTATAAGTCTGCGTTTATTTTTAGACTATTTTTAAAATTAAATAAACACTGCTCTTTCCTTCAAATATTGGAAAATATTTCAAAGCGTAATGATTCTTTATTACTCTTATTTATAGTGCTATTAAAATCTCTTTTATTATTCATTCAGTCAACACATTTTGATCCTATCTCGTAATCGTAACTGATGTTTTAATAAGATAATTCCAAATATGGTTAAAGATTCTCCAAAATACATATATTGTTGTTTTGTTTGTTTATGTCTCAAATTAGTAAAAAAGTTTAAAATAAATATGTGCCTGAAAACATTTTGTTTTCGAGATACAAGGTATAAAAAATTAAATTAAAATATATGGTTTATTTTAAGTTGCAAACAATACCTAATTGTAGATATTATTTTTTTTATTATTTGTAAGATATAATTGATGTAAGATTTGTGAAAACCATGTAACATCATGAATATAAAAAATATTTTCACTAACGCAGTTCTTGGAATTGGAATGTTCTCTAATAATCCTTTATTTATTTTTATTTCTTTTTCTGAAAAAATAATTTTAGAATATTAACATAATCACTCAGCATGTGCGAATCGTTTAAATCGAGTTACCTAAAATTGTTCATAAAAATTCATTTAATAATAATAAAGATATTTTTTCCAGTACTGTATGAATCATATCTGAAATAAATTTGTTAGATGTGACGTTTATATCCATGGATAATTACAGTTTAGTATAATAAAAATAATCAAAATAAGTAAAACCCACAAAAATTTTATGTTAGGTACTTAACGAAATCATAACATGGTATGTATATTTTTTTTGAGTTTGTGTACATGAAACATCATGCTAGTCATACAGCAATTTTTTTATGGGTGTTCAAGTGCAAAATATATTGACCTATTTTTCTTTCTCTAAAAAAAGTTGAATTAAACTTGATCAAGTTTGTTAAGTTTGTTAAAAGCAATTAATAATATAATATTCATACCTACATCATTGTTTTTAATTTTGCATAATCACTGATATCTTCAGAAATGGGTAATCAACACATACAACATTCAATGTCCAATAACAGGATTATTAAAAAAATTAAGTACCTACATCCAAATCTGTAGTCATACTATAAACTAAATAAAAGCGTCTTTTACAATGAATAAATTAATTTAGCCCTGAAAAAAATTTTCAAATAAACTGAAATAAAAGAAACATTTACTAATATTAATTATTTAATTCCTTTTTCTGTAACCAAGACTTACATACAGCTGTATAGTTTGATTGTAATAAATTCAAAATTTTAGCTAGCAACTTTATTATTTTTTAGTTAGGTTAGCAAACTTTGAACCACATTATAGTTTTATTTCAAACTAAAACTAGCCAAAGAGTAAAAAATATTGCCACACTTTAAACAATGTTTTAATGAATACCAAACAAATAGTTAAATATAGATAAAGATTAAAATTAAAAAACAACCCTAGCCTACAAGGTTTTAAAAAACGTATGAAGCAGTATATATTGGATGTCAGAAACTGATATATTGTGATACTTAATGTAAATGTAGATGATATATAAGTTGATGTTGTCATGTAATAGACATATATATGTGTGTAAATGTGAATTGATGTGTACGTGATATATGTATTGAATGTCTTATATCTTGAGAATACTTTCTTTTAAATTGTAACACATTGTATTGTGTGAACCAAAAAACTATAATGCCTGTTATGGATGCTTGCATCCCCTGAGGCATCATTTGGTAAATAAAAAACAAATAATTGAAAAAATAAGAAAACATCACACTATAGGTAAGACCTCAGAAATGAATCATATCAAAATTTCTTATGCCCTTAGTTATTCGATCATTGATCTCTGCTGTATGAAATCCACATTACCATATATATTTTGACATGCTAGAGACAATATTAATAAACATATATTTCTGAATGTTGGGCAATGGCTGTGGATATCACTACTCTTAATTTGTCTAATCTCATGATATGGTGACGAGAACAAAAGATAATTGACTAACTGCAGTTTAAAAGTTAGAAAGAACAGCGAGAGTTAATAATGAAATAAAGTAAAACAAAATATGTAATACTATAATACTGATACAAAAGACCAAAGACCAGACAAATAAGAGGAATCATGCTAACAATAGAAGGAAAACACAGTAACTCATAATAATGAATAAAAAGATGAAATACAGGAGCAAATAGGAAAGGGAAATAAATATGGGAAAGTTGCTAAATGTAATCTGGTCGAAAAATATCATAATTGTAAAAAAGGGGACCTAGAGGAAAATAATAAATCCTGTTGTTATTGACACGAAATTTTTGAGAGAAAAGTACTGAAAAAAATATATGTAGGGAAGAAAGTAGGTGAAATGTAGTAATGAGGAACAAACGGTGAGCTGAAAGAATGTATACAGAACCATCCATAATTAATATAGTAAGTGGACAAAGAATAATGTCACAAGATGAGAGACAATCAAAACTAGTTCTTGCAGAGGGGATAGTAGGTACTACAACAGGGTTTGTAGCGGCCTGAAAAACCGGGAATCCATTATTCTTCATAAAGAAACAGAGAAGAGTCGAGGGAATTTTAAAAGAATTCATGAGTCAGAGAATTTGACGTTTGCAACTGGAAATTTTGTGAAAGCAGGCCCTGGGTTCTTGAAAGAGAAAACTATTTGTGGTTTTGAATCTTTTTGAAAAGAGATTCTTTGGGTATAAAAAATACTATGGAGTCCAGTCTAAAAAAAGTTTAATGCATAAACATGAACAAGTGACCTTGATTTTTTTTAAAGTCGGGGAAAAACCTGGAAAAGTCAGAGAATTCTATATTAGTTTTGAACTATGAACCCTGTACAAGGAAAATAAGGAGATCCCAAACCAAATAGTTTCAAAAGATGGGAAGAGATCATGAAGAAATGGGCATAAGAGACTGGTAAAGGAGAACAAAAAGTAAAATTGAATGGAGAAAAATATGCAACCAAGACATGTTCTGCTTGACCCGCAGTGCTGAACCTATACAATGGATTTAATTTCCCATTAATGAGAATAGTAAGAACTGAAGTATACTATTGCTATACAAGGTATGGCTATAAAATAACCGGATTAATGCTCTAAGTTTTTATTGAAAAAATTATACAATAACAATGTTATCCCCTTCAATATATTCTCCTCCCTGATCCATACACTGCTCCTTGTGAATCTTGTTGGAAGCAATGCTGCAAGTCCTGTTCCGATAGCATGTTAAGGAGCTCCGTCACATTTGTTTTCACCATATTTACGGACTCTAAACGGGTTCCTTTTAAAGCAGACTTGATTTTGGGGAATAAAAAGGGGCGAGATCTGGTGAATATGGTGGATGTTCCACCACGGGGGTGTTGTGCTTCGTCAAAAACTGATTGACAGACAGCACGTGTGCCAGAGCTTGTCTTGATGGAGGAGCCATGACTTGTTCTTCCACAGTTCCGGCCTTCTTCCTCTCACCTTTTCCCAAAAGTAGGTCTGGTTTACTGTCTGACCTTCAGGCACCCAATCGATGTGAACAATCCCTCGGATATCGAAAAAATAATCATCATCGCTTTGAACTTAAAAAATCCAATATTATAAAAATTCTTCTGCATATAAAAGGATATTCCCTCTTTCTTTTTGTCACCACCTACAGAACCCTAATCTCCTAGGTTTATCTTCCTCCCTCGAGCTCAAGAGGTGTGCTTTTTTTCACCTTATAACATTTGAAACCATTTTTTGTAATATCCTTCTTGCACTGTCCTCTAAATTGTAGTTCACTTCAATCTCTCACTGTTTTGCTCATTTTTCCTATTTACATAATTTAAAATTCTGTAAATAACAGCTGAATTTATTAGCGAAGGTTTTCTACATTCCGCAAGTGCTTGAATAGAATTGAAATTGCATTGATAGTACAATACAAACATATTACACTTCTCAATATGTCAAAATATCTTTATTATTCAACATTTTAGTTTTTCTACAGTTAACTGTAACAATTTCCAAACCAACAGTTATGTATAAACTATAACAATACACGATTTGTTAAATAATGACATTACTGGGATAACACATTTGTTTTCATAGCGTGCTACATTTAACATAAGCTTGTAACATTGTCTGTGCAAGAACAATGTTGAAGGCTCAGCTTTCTCTAAAGTAAGAAAACAATATTATAATAATGTATGTATTTTGCTTAAAAGAAGTACATTATATTTATTAAATTTTTTATAGTTGACACAACAATTTCTATGTTAACACAAAAATGTTTACATTTTTTATACCAAAATTATAAAAAATGTAATAAATATAAAAGATACAGGCAACATGTAGTATATCGCAGGAAAGAGGGAAAAACAAGCAATTTTTTATAGCCACAGCCTGCTTCGATAACAATTTTTTTTTTTTGCCCTCTTAGGGGGTGCAGCAAATTACATACGATATTTTGAAAATCTGTTTGCACTAGGTGAAAGATATCAATTTTGCCATGAAATTTTATTAAAATAAGTTTTCTCTTAAAATAAAAAAGTTAGACGGCCCTAAAATTTCAGTACTTTTCCGGTTTTTTTATGATTTCTCATAAAGTTGGTCATGGATCTCAAATTTGTTTTTACGAGCATAAGCCTCAAAAAATGCAACAAAAACATATAAAGATTTTTGACATGCGTCGTATATTAAGCGAGATTCATAGGAGTGGCCCTCTTATAGTAGACAGCCTGTATATGCAGTAGGCTTCTAGATATACTTCCTAATGCAACTATGTATGATGATCTAGAACAGGAGTCGGCAAGTAATTTTAGGTGGAGTCCAGGTACTTTTGAAAATATTTAACAAGGTCCAGAAAAAAAGCTCATATTCCTTAGTAATTTTTTATTTTAATTTGCACTCACAAAATAATATGAAAAACAATAGATAGTCATATTTGTATTAAAAAATCAATGGAAGAAATTATATTTGCAGTCTTGAGTCAGTTTTTTTTACTAACCTACTAACCATTAAAAAATGATCAAACGTATTGTTATCTATAGAAAAATATATTTTTTAAATAATTTGAGTAAGTATACTTTCAACAAAATTTTGGCGGTCGTTTTTTACCTTCTGCGGTCCGGATCTGGATCGCAGTCTGCCAGTTGCCGACCGCTGATCTAGAATTTTCGAAGATAACTTTTGGATTTTCTTTTATAAATCTGGTTCCGTAGCCTTAATCAGCATCACTAAAAACTCGTGTATTTTAATTATATTAACTAAAAAGTGCAAAAGGTATTCTTTGGAAATTTCTTTATTTGATTCATAACTTTAACACCCTGTATCTCTAAAACAAAAACCAAAAAGGTCAATTTTTTTGATAAAGAATTTATTCCTGCCAATTTTGTATTTAAAATAAATTACCTTGTACTTTAATTTTTTACAATGGGTAGTTTACATCTATTTATATTAACAGATGTACGAAATTTTGTACTGGATAAGCATTATGCATAATGCACAAATAATCGCGTTGTTTATAATATACGTATCGAAAAATGAATGAATTTTATTAAGTAGAGGGTTAAAGGGATCCACTGTTTGATTGATGTGCTATTATAAAACATGTCATTGATTTATTTTTAAGTATTTAACGAAAATTTATTTTTATTAGGTACAAACAGAGCTAGTAATGATGACCCAAAAGAAAAACCAACTTTTAGCCGCAGAGGCAAAAGACCAAGAGAGACAGATGCATTTGAAAGCCCTCCAAGAAGAAAAAGAATCTTTAAGGCTAGCGAGGGATCTCTTGCAACAACAACGAGAAAGATCCTCAGCACCTGGTAATTCCTCGAGAAATTCCGGGGATGAATGGGTTATCGTACCTAGGCAAGAAGAAAGATAACTTTTAAAAAATCACTTAATACTTGTTTTAATGTTAAGTCTATTTTATAAGACAAATAATGTAACAATGTCAATGGTACTTAAGAAAAAGTACCTGTCATAGCATTTTATTTTTTTGTTAAAATAAGATGCATTCTTTAACTTACCATGAATTTTAAACTGTATATTTGTAAAATATTTTTTAAACTGATATTTTAAAGTGTGATTTATAGTATTTTTTATGTATATATAAATTATGTATTAGCAACGAGAATTTGTATTGTTTTTCCTATTTTAAAGTCAAAACTTCCATTTCATTATTTAAAAAGAAATAAACATTCTGAAAAGCATGTGAATATAAGACTAGAGTGGGCTCGGAAAAACGACAATGGTTTGGCCGGCATCATCTCCAGACAAAAATCCCATTGAAAATGTGTCGTTATATGTTAAGATGTAGCCTAACGGAACGTATATATTCACTATTAAGCAGCGAGTTTAAAAATTAAACAAATATGATATTCTTTACTGCGGAAATAAGCAGAAACTTTGGTCGAAAGTATGCCAAAACGGTGCCAAGCAATAATTAATAATGAAGGAGACTGGATTAAACTTTAGGTAACTGCGCATTAGAGAATGCAGTCTGCGATTTGTTTTAAGAAATAATTTTCATATTTGTCGTTGTATTAGTTCAGATAAACAGCCGTACTTTCTTGTTGAACAGACTGTATAATGGATTTCTTATGTTGAATGGCAACAAAAACTTTAAATGAATTTTTCGAGAAACCACCTCTTTTTTCAATCAATGTCTTGAAATTTTATACAAAGTTTCACAATACATAAATCAGGAAACATCGCAGGGATTTTTCGATTCTTTTTTTTTAATGTTCGACAATTATTAATATTTTTTAATTTCCCTATGTTGTTGGCTATGTTTTATTATATAGAGTGTTTCATAATAATATGTCTTTATTCAGGGGGGTGAATCTGCGCATGATTTTAAGGGGCTGAAAAATTAAGTAATTGTCAGTCAAAATGTATGAGACAATTTTAAAATTCAGTTTTTAATCTAGCGAGTCACAGAAAATTATTTTTTATTCTAAACTGGACAGGGTCCTTAATCTAAAAAAGATCAGTGGAAAAGACCATACCGGAAAAAAGTTTGAGGAGCTGAAAAGAAGCCCAACCCCAGAAAAAGTATTACCCTGAAGATCATGAGAACTATTAGGGCTAATGACATAGATAATTTAAGTTTGCCTATATTCCAAATTTGCGCTACATATCTCAAAAATTGTGGGATACAAAGAAAAAACAGAAAAATTATTGAAATTTTAACACCCAGTACCATGGTAACGAGCATTTACGGACATGTTTATATGAACTTTTTTACTTAAAATCATGTGCAGATTCATCCCCCTGAACAAAGACATACTGTTATGAATCACCCTGTATATCAGAAAATTTTTATTTTCTATTTCAAGACCATCCGTTAATAAGAAACCCTTCTGGCCATACATCCCTCTGAAAAAGAGGTGTCATGGCTTGCTATTACAATTTTCACAATTGTTTTTTAAAAACACAAGAAACAATACGTAGGTAACAAGATTGTACACCACACGTAAACAAATTACGTTTAATAAGAAAAAAAAGCGGTGAATAGCTATTATTTGGTGAAGGGCTGAATAAACAGAGCCCAAAGTGCATAGTAAATATGCGCTACTCCCACTCCATCTTTCACTGCTGCGCAATAGTAACCATGACCACTGCTGTAAATGCTTTATAGATTTAGGGGCGAGCTATGATTAGCACACTTATTCAGTGTTTTTCAAGTAAATTTTGCAAGTCGAGTTAAATTTCACATTACAAATTTAAAACATTTCCTTTTTAATGTGTTTCATAAGGCTAATCTATTTAATTATATAGATAACACTGTAAACTAAATTTTTCTAGGAGAGGCGGCACCCCACCCCCCCGCACCAACCGCCACTGGTTTTAACAGTTCTTGCAAGGCTTCAACCTTCAACATAATTTAGGTAGACATGACTGTCTCCTAAAGTGTGAATCAACTTGCCTGGTTTCAATCCTGTAAAATGTGCTATCCTATCAGTCAGCAGCGCATGGTACTCCTAAACCCATGTCAATCGATCTCTGATATAACAAGACAGCTCATCATTTGTGACAGAACTGTAGAAGACAATGGCATGGAGATAAAGCCATTTCGAGAATATCAACAGGATTCCAAGCACAAATTATTATACATCTATCGTTTGATCTTGTTTTAATTGTATTTGGAAACCATACCCTAAATCACCTCATCTCTATCCTTAAGACCCACCGAATCTAGGAATTGATTTTTCTCACAAAAAGTAATTGAAAAAAGCAGAATAGACTCATTATACAAAAAAATGTTGAGTGCATTTTCCCTATATTTCAATAGGTAGTACTTTAAATAAAACTACCTAATTATATTTGAATTTTTTTCAATACTACCTAAATTTTTCCGCCCTCTCTGATATGGAAATCAAGAGCAGCAACCGGATGTATATTATGGTTTACTTTTTGTTTTTATGAAAATAATAACACTTTTACAAAAAGAACAAAACTTCTAACAATTACTACAAATGAAATTTTTACCATTTTTTTATTAAAAATTTTAGAGAACTGAAAATGCAATATTTACATATCTGCCTCATCTTCCTCTGAAAATTTCATTTTTAATCCTCTGTCAAAAATTTAATTGAACTGTCAAAATCTCTCTCGTAGTAATAGTTAAATGTATTGTTTTCAAAGCCATCTTAGTAAGTGAAAGTTACCGTTACGACACATTATCGTAATCAGAAATATGAACCAAATTCATTAACATGAAAATTCAACATAGTGGCCTCATAAGGAAAATAGTGTCTTGATTTTAATGTTTAAAAACCCCTAGGTTTTCATTTAACAAAATGTAAACAGAAATTTTCAATTTCTCATAGATAACTTAAATTAAATTTCTCTTCAACTGAGCCCTTCAGGGTGTGGCTCAAAAAATTGATACTTGATATAAGTACAGTTTGAAACATTTAAAGGGAATTTAAAATTAGTTTTACTTGAAATTATTTAATAAAAAAAATCTTTAAATATGTACAAAACTTATTGAATAAAAATATTGCCTTAAACGATTCATAATGTATAATATAAATTAAGTTATCACAAATACTAAACCGGTAAGGTATTGCCAACTGATCTGGAAAACATTTTTGAAAAAAATGAAATACCAGCTGTACCTCCAGGAATATTTACTATCACAGTCCAAAGTAATGAGATAATTTGGCCTGCAGCAAAAAGTACAGTGAAAGGTGTACTTTGCAAATGCAGCGCGCAATATAATGTAGCAACTAAAGTTCCTCCATATGTCAAAGTAAGTAACAGTCTTTCCTTGGCAAACATGTGCTTCAAAAAGGCCATTGGACCCCAAAGAAAGAAGAAGCTAGAACAGCAAGAGATCATGTAACAATATAATTTACTTTTATCTATCAGGTAAACATAAAATGTACCTCAAACACTGCGCTACAACACTACGATAAACACTATTGTGTATTATTTATAGATTAAAATGAGATGAACAGTCTAAACTTACCTCATTACAAAAAATGTACTCCCAAACGTAAATAGCAGAGCAAATTTCCTTGCTTTAAACAACAGCACAGGGATGTACATTAAAGATATTGAAAAACACAATATACCCATTCCAATACATAGTCCAAATAGTGCAATTCTTTGAAATCGTGACTACAAAAAAAAAGTACATAAACTCTCACTGAAAATATAAAAAACTTATTGATATAAATGTATCTTAATATTATACTATTATATTTTACTAACCAGACTAGGGCAACATTGCTTTTTTGTTTCCCTATACCATGTAGCCTCTTCTTCAGGTTCTTCTTTTTTAAACCAGCCCGAAATATTAGGTTTTTGTATAACTGGCATTTGTAATTTGAATGACTTTTTTTGGTCGCTCTGGAGAAGTAAATATTCATCCAAATCTTTTTTTAAATCAACCATTTTTCTAATTAACTTTTTAATCCTTTATTACATCAAAACTGAAAACATCATCATAAAACGTCAAATTTTAATTTAGGTTATCCAAAATCGAAGACAAAACTCATATTGTAGAAACCTGTAAATTTGGTATTTTGAACAGTTTGTCAGATACATAAATTTACGTGATAAATGATTCATAAATATAATTTTATTTGTTACAAAATTATTATTTAAATAGATATACCTAAAAAGATAATCAAAACAAAATTTAAATTGGAAATTGGAAATATTCAAGGTCAAGGTCGACAAAGACTGCCAATCCAATCACAGTGCTGCCAATAGTACCAATGTGCCAATACAATCTTTTGTCATAGGAATTTTTATTTGTAACCATTTATAGGTTTCCTGCAATGTCGGACTATATTCCTTTATATTCCAATGATTCTATTTTCACGAATATGTGACAACACTGGTCACTGACAAGCAGAGTTACATTTCCTTATATGGCAAACATAACCGCTACATCTAGTGATTAAGAAAATAAGATAACAGTTTATAAAATAGTGCCAAAATCTTGTGAATAACAGTATTTCATGATTCATTTTGTCGGCACCCTCATATTTTAGTGTATTTATTTTATATCAAGTCATCAAGTGGTAATTCATATTTTGGATTGGAATATTTCCCACGAAAATGTCATACGCCTGTAGTAAGCAATTTTTATTAAAATTCTAATTCATATTTTCGTACTGTGCAATTTTAATAGATCTTTAAATGTATACATTTTGCAACAGAAAACATCTATGCAACTCTTCCTAAAACCCAAAGAGGACAACCACTTGTTTTGGGTGGAGACCCAAAGGGAAATAACTTCTTATATACTAATGGAAATTCTGTTATCATCAGGAATATTGAGGTAAGTACAATATTTATTACTAATTACTGATAATTCCAAATGTTGTAAGGTAGATGTGATTAAATCTTTTTTTTATTATTTAATGACGTAAAATGAATTAAAATCTTAAATATTAATATAAAATAAGTAAGGTACATTATTAAGGTAACAAAATCAAAGAATGAACTATATCAGAGGAAAGTCTTTATTTAAAGGTTTTAAAAAATTATAAATATGACATTTACTGTTGTGTTAACTCAGCAGATTAGTTTTACTTTATTTTATTACTAAATTACAGGAATTAGTTATTATTAGGTAGTATGATTAAAGATATTATGCAGTAAACTTAGTAATTTATGAAGATTGTGTGTATTTTTTATATTCATAAGTAAATATAAGTAAATATAAAGCGTGAGAAGAAAATAGATAAATATTCCATTTTTCAGTATTTTATGTATAGTGCAAAATCAGGAGGAAATCCCGCCAGCCAAAATTTATACATAGAAATACTCATTTTCATAATTAGTTACTCTCGAGTATTACTCAGAAATAATACAAAAAAAGATTGAGAGGGAGGTACTTCAGGTGCATTGTCATGACAAATTGTATAAATAGTTGTATTAGATACTGAAATTGTACTCGGTATTAATCAAATATTAATCAAGCTAGAACACCAAATTACTCTTTCCCCCCTCGCTTCAGAATATTGTGTCTAAATAAATTTTGGCATCAGATAAATACATAATAATGTGTCAGTGGGAGTGTTATAATTTTATCTTCTGGATACCAGTGATAGGTTTGTGAAATAGCAGCACATTTGTAAAGTATAGTTTGATGTTAAAAGAATATTTCTATTTCAGTTATTTATTAGAAACTAATGTTGTATGATATATGTAAACTACTTAAATGTTTTTTTCTGTTACATACTTCCATATTATAAATTTATTTTTTTAATGACAAAATCTAAAATTAAAATTTAGTAACAAAATTTGATCTTCGTTAATGTAGATTAAAAATTATATACTTGAAACTCATTTAACTGCATTTTTATATTTGATATGAAGCTTTCATTTTATTAACACATTCTTTAAATATCTCTTTTTAATTATTAGTAAAATGTATTTAAAATTTACGATATTTAGAAAATTATACAGGGTGTATTTAAATGAAGAAGCAGTGGCACCTGAAAATTTTGAGACCAAGTATAATATCTGGGCCAAATATATCTTAGTCCAAAGTTGCTTCATTTACATATTGCAGGGGACAATGACGGCTGTGAAACTTAAAATGGTCAAATAAGTACTGATAATAAAGAATGGAACCCATACCGTTTTTTTTTAGATGATTTCTAGGTCCAATATAAAATTTTTATAAGAAACTTCAAAAGAAATTTGCGAAATAAAAAATTAAGTTAGAACTTTCCAGTCCTGTCTTCATCTTCATCATCTAGTGGTTTATCCTAATAAGTCGCATAGCACTGCGGCCTAATTAGGCCTATTGTGCGTCCCACTACTAGTCCTATTCAGCAAGTAGACTTGTCCTTTTTACAAAGTCCAAAAACTTCCATGCTAACACTTCTCTCAGTTCCTTGGGTTCCAAATAGGGTCTCCCAAGGAGCGCCATTCTGCTACGTGCAAATCCCGGGCACTCACCCAGGATATGCAGAGAAGTTTCATCCGCCGATTCACATCCTCGGCAGACCGGACTGTCTACACAAGCTTTAGCTTATGTAAATGTTTCCTAAAGTGACACTGTCCTGTTATGAGTCCTATCACTCTCCTGAGCCGGATTCTGTTCAAGCTCAGTAGATCATTCGCTCTTTCCTTCGAAGGATACTCCATAAGCTCCTTAGAATGGCTATGTCCTGGCCTTGAAGTCCAGTATTTCCTATGTTCTGTCTCAGTCCATTTGCCCAGAGCCCGCCTGACCACACTGGGATCCAGTCCTGAGATCTTGAAAATGACTTTTTTTTATTTTCACAAAATCCAATTTTTTTTAAAGTTACAGCAATATAAAGTTTCCAAAGAATGTTGGAATCAAATTCAGACTTAAATCGGTAAAACTTCAAAAAAATAATAGGGAAAGAACTATTTGTCAGTATCAATTTTTGAACTAAGCTTGTGTTTAGATGTACAAATAGTTTTGAGATAGTTGTCTTAAAAAGGGCATTCCCTATAACAGACTTCTTATTTAATGCATACCTTTATCTAACATTTTTCTTTAATATTGATCTTAAAAGAATTTTTGTCTCATCCAATTTGCTATAATAAATTTCAAGTAAAAAAGATGATTTTGGTATTAAATATATACTGAAATATAAGGTGCCCCAGAATTTCAATTTTGTATTTGGATGAGCAATTCTACACAAAAAATATTGACATGATCATAAACTACTGGAAAAAATTAAAGGAACTAAAATATTTCGTAAATTTTTTAGTGATTTTTGAAACTCTGTATCTCAGTGAAAAACGGTTGTGTCAAGATAAAAAGATAACATTTTGAAGCTGGTTACCAAGATATCGATGGTTGAATGAAAAGTGACACTTTTGTCTCATCAATATCTCAGCAACAAATTATTACATAGTAAATCATGGTTTTCGAAGAAAAACGTTTTTTTTTTTCATCCTTGATATTAATTTGAAAAAAGTACAAGAAAATTACTTTACACTCTTTTGGAAAGTCTATTGCTACAAATATTGATGAAAATACTGATATTCAAGGAAATTTTTACAACTCAATGTAGCCACATTGACAAGTTGATCTATCGATCTGTTCCGAGATCTGTTCCAAATGATCAGTTTTGGTAAGAATTAAAGGAACATGTGATGCTATTATGTAATCGTTATCAGATTGAAAAAGAATTTTTCTCAACTTTTCCCACAGTTTCACATTAGTTATATGTAGTTTAAATTTAATAAAAAAGAAATTCAAAAAAGTTTAAAAAAAAATATCTAGCTGTTTATGACACGATTCAGCCTTTCACACCTAATCTTTATTTAAATGCATTAAATGCAAAGTTGATACCCTCAGGTGAATTTCATCTTTTTCGATATTTTTATAATTCAAAAAAGTTTTTTTTTAAACCTACTTTTTTGTTAAAACATTATTTGATCAAATGTTTTTTTAAAACCTCTTTTTTCAGTAAAAGTAATCAAAAGTTTTTGTAAACTTTGTTTTTTTTTTCAGAAACAATTAGAAATTGTTTTCTTAAATGTCCAGCAACATTTTCAAAAGAAAATAATAGAAGAAAAAATTTGAATTTTTTTTTTTTTATTTTTTTAATTTCCCAAGAGACAAACTTGTGCAAAGACCAATGTATTAGGAATATTATACATATAATGTGGATAAGACATAAGGATAGTCTTAAAAGAGTTATGTGATGATCAAGGGGGTGGAGACTAGGCGTGCCAATCTCAAGATTATAAGTTCTAACCCCAGAAACTTCGTTAATAATAGCATTAATTTGATTTTTTATGTTATATGTTTGCGTTTTGTTATATGTATCTTCTTTCATTTTACTTTCAAATTTAATATGCTATAAAAGGTCTGCATTAGTACTCTCCATGCCAAATTGGAAAAAAATTGCATATCTCGGAGACAGGTAGTTTCCGAGATATGCCTGAAAACTTTTAATTATTTCATTTCAACTCGAAGACGTCTGAGAAACAAACCATCTTTCAAAACAATACCCTCCTTAATTTTCGATGTAGGATCTATTAGTGGCATTTGGTGTTTTTTACACTCTGTGGATACTATTTTTTGTAAATTCTATACCAAAAATTCTAACTCAACCTTAAGATAATTTGAAAATCACTTTATATCCATTTTAATGAATTAGTCCTAAACTAACATTTTTTATAATCAGATTAGTTACACCTTTGTTTATTAAAGAATATGAGGATATTTACTGTAAATGTGTTGTCAGGTATAGAATTGTTCTTGACATTAAAAGCAATAGTATTGTGTCATTTTTGGAATTATATCCTGTCTTTGATATTTAAGGTTGTCATGTTGATAATTACAAATAAATTATACACAAAATATTTTTGTTTTACAGCTGTGTGATTTACATCTAAACTTCTTTCATGTACTTTATGACATTTTGGTTTAACATAACAAGTTTAAAGATTGTAACCATTTTTTTTCTTTTTTGTTTACTGCTACGTTACCATTATTATTATATTATTGGCCAACCTTAACCTACATTTGTGGCATTCTGCCAGATACATGTATGCTGTAATGTATCTTTATGTAATTTGAAAACAAATAAAGATCCTCTTAAAATAGCTTTTTAGAACAAACTCTAAAATAAAGTAATTTCTCCATTTTGTATATAAAATATTTGAGAAAATATGCAAAACCATATCAAATAAGTCTCTGGGGTACTAAAAATTCAAATGCATATATTTTGATAGTTTGACCTATTTACTATTAACTATATTAGAAATAATTTAATTATAGATGAAATTGATATATTTTTTGTAATAAAAATGACAATCTAATTTTAAAAAAATTTGGAAGATTGTTGTGAATATTTATTTAAATATGCCCTGGGGTCCCGCTAGATATATATCGAATAAATTGATCGATGAGAAGCTTTAGATCAGAGGCAGACATGTTATTGTACAATGACGTGGATAGTGGGATTACTAAAATGTGAAGTAGTTGATGCTTTGTCACCATTAGTAAAAATTTTATTTATTAAAAACTGACTATTTTAGATATGCATATATTGAAAATTGAAATACTACTTGCAAGAATACTGCAGGGTTCCCACCCACCCTAGAACACCCGGAAAAGTCGGGGAAATTAATTTTAGACCCTGGCAGTCAGGGATTCTAGGTTAAAAACAAAAGTGATTTAAGTTACATTCAAATAATAGACATCAAAAATATTTTAATGTTTTATTTTACCATCACATGTTATCTGAGCTCTTGATAACCTTAATCATTATGGCTTATAAGGTAACAAAGTATGGCTATTAGAAAGTGTCATATTTGTAATGTGACAGGGTAATGGGGGGTTGCTTAGCTATTAAGCCTTTGTGTAACACTCTCATGGCATGTTCTATCTTATCATTAGTGGTAGACCCATCAAGCCTCATATCATTGCAAGCCTGAAAAAGTGTTCTGTGATGTAGTTTGACTTGTCACGCTTTTTAAGAATACCCTATACAAAATTAAATATAAATAATAATAAAAAATTCTAGTTGATAGCTAAAATATATCTTTTTCTAAATTTAAAAATAAAAAGTTAAGGTGAGTAACATTTATAACCAATGACCTGGTAAATGAGAAGATATCTTCAATATTAAACTAAAATAATCTGGGAAAAAAATTGTTAGTTGTTATGGAAAACTGGGAAAAGACGGGGATTTTATTTTGATTTTGAAGAATGAGTAGTGACTGATATATTGACATTTAATGTTGCTATACAGTTTTAACATATTTATGTATTCTTTCATAAATACCCTTCAGATTTTGATTCACATTGTATATACACAAAATGTTGATGGATCAATTCTATTATCAAATTAAAATGTTCAAAAAAAAATTGAGAAAATTGGTTCAATGATAAAGGTTCTAAAAATCAAAAATTCCATGATATATAAAAATAATATTTAATCATAAACCTACTGATATAGCACTCGTATAACATTAGCCATGGGACTTGGGGAAACACATCACTTTTATTAAATAGCCATTGCAGAAAAGTTAGGTTTTTTATTTAACTTATACCACCTCGTGCATATAATTTTTATTTATTATAATGACTGTTCTGCTATGTAGTGTGGTAGTTTAGAATTGCAATTTTATTATTTTTTAAATTATAAACTTTTAAATAAAATGTGTACTGTTTCCAAATAAAACCCACCTCTTTTTTCGTATCATGGTACAATGAAGTTTTTGTTAGATTCACAGAAGATAATGATTGTTCTGAAGATTGCTTGTAATTCTTAAAACAGACAAATCTCTTTTTCAACGAGAAATTTGCACAGATTTTTAGTTTTTGGTAATATTTGCTTGCATTATCATAAAATTTGAAGTTTTTTGACTGGTGGTAACATATTTAAATTTTGACTAAAGTTTTTATTATAGTTATTTGTGAGCGTATAAAAAACTATTTTATAAGGTTCAGTTGGATTTCAATAAAAAAATTAGACCCTTTTTAAAAACAAAATTGTGTTTAAATTTAGTCTCTTTTTTCCACACAATTTTTTTAAGGGGTTGTGTTTTATTATTTTTCAGAACCCTGCAATAGCAGATATCTATACTGAACATTCTTGCCAAGTAAATGTTGCTAAGTATTCTCCTAGTGGTTTCTACATTGCTTCTGGGGGTAAGTAAAAATATTATTTTTGTGCCTTTATCGTAAAGGGTGTAAAAAAAATTAACATTGTACTAGTCCATCCCTGGCAAACCAAATAAGCTAAATTGTTTTCATGGGTCAATTTTTAAGGAGTATTATCTGTTGTCCATCGTATTAAAAAATTATTAAATTAGATAAAGTATTTTAAAAGTTTTTTAAAAAAATCCATTTTCAGGGGGTGTCTTTACGGGCCTGTATCTCTGTAGGGGGGGGTCCTTTAGGGAAAATTTTTATAGAAACTTGTCATGTTATTTTGACGTTCCCTGTATAAATCCCCATATATTCTGGGACACTCGGTATATGTAGTTAAAAGAAAAACTTTGTAAATATTATTTTATTGTTTATTGGAACAAGCATTTTTTCATATCATTAATATATAATATAATTTTGAACTATTTATTTGACAATAATTATTATTAAAATTTATTCCATTTGGAAAAATTGTATTCAAAACTCTGCATATTACTAAAACCAAAAGAAACTCTATGATATTATATGAAACTCCTAAAACCATTGTAGGTGGATTTATCAATTACTTTCGCATATTTATTTTACATCTGACCTTACCTATAAGGCTAATAAAGAACTAAAGGGAAGAAAAAGGCAAGGCTATCCCTAAATTAGCAGCAACCTTTGAAATTATTGAATTTATTTTCAATTCGAAACCCTACCTTTTATTAATGTTCTATACAAATATGAAAAAAATATTTATACACAATTCATAATTTTCCTTTCAGGTTGCATTTTGATATACAGGGTGATTCAGTCATAATGTCATTAATTTTAACCACGTATTCGGAAAGCTTAATAAAGACAGAAAATCGGAAAAAAAAATTTTTTACTCGACTTTTAAAAATGAAGGAAATCAACCCATAACTCCCGCTACGAGGGCTGCCCTGCCGATGCCCGGATGCTCGGAAAATTTTGTAACGTAATGTCACGAACAGTTGTCGGCTAAAGGAACAGCGTTGCCAAGTTCAGGTTCAAGCTCGCCAGGTTAGTATTTGACATATAACCGACCACTTCGTACACTCGATGCACCTGGGCGACTACAGCTACTACGAAAACAGCCGGTATTTTAGATTTTAAATTAAATTTGTTGATACGATTTTCCTTTGATAAAAGACCGACAACTTTTTGCTACTACACTCGTATTAGTCTAGGGGCTAGGGGCCAGATAGGTTTCCGTAGCCAAACAGAATTCCACGGCTGCAAATAACTTATTTTTAAGTATTTTGACTTCTCGAAACCAAAAAACTTGGTGGCAAAGCCTGAAAGTGGTCAGTTTAATTGTTGTTAACAAATTGAATGTTTAAATGGCTGTAAAAAGTTTATTTTTATAGCTAGTACAATTTTTTATCTGTTAATTATTACGTTTTCTCACAACAAACATATATTTTTTTGAAAATTAAAAAAAGATTAACTTTAACCAAAGTTATTGCAAATTTAGTGCAAATATATTACATTTTCCGTCTCTGCGCGCACCAATTTTACCATATCTCTGGTTCAATTGGACGGATTGAGACGCACATCTCATTTTAAAACTTAAACTTTATTTTACAAGATAGGTAAGTTCCATTGATTAATTAATTTATTTAAAAATTAATGGCAGCTTAGAAAGTTGTGGAATTTCAACGAAAATGTTGGCTTTATTGGTTTATAAAACTTTTTTTGTTATTCAATTTTTATGAAAAGCCAAAAAAGTTACCGGTTATTGTTCCTCGCATCCTAACAATGATTTCATGCCTTGCTTGATTGTTAGAATGCAAAGAACAATATCCGGTAACTTTTTTGGCTTTTCGTCGAAGTTGAATAATAAAAAAAACCTTATAAACAATTAAAACCGGCATTTTCGTTGAAATTTCACAACTTTCTAAGATGCCATTAATTATTAAATAAATTAATAAATAAATGGAACTTAGAACCAGATATGGTAAAATTAGTGCGCACGGAGACGGAAAATGTAAGAAATTTGCACTAAATTTGCAATAACTTTGGTTAAAGTTAATTTTTTTTAATTTCCAAAAAAATACATATTTGTTATGAGAAAACGTAACTATTAGCGAATAAATTGTACTAGCTATAAAAATAAACTTTTTACAGCCATTTAAACATTTAATTTGTTGATAACAATTAAACTGACCACTTTCAGGCTTTGCGACCAAGTTTCTTTGGATTCAAGAGGTCAAATATTTAAGAATAAGTTGTTTGCACATCTGGCTCCTGGACTATATGGTGCACGTGTGCAAATTAAAACTGGGTTAAAAGGTTACTGAACCACAGGTTACCCTAGGTCGGAAACACGACGTACCGAGTTGTTTATTTGTCTCCGTCCCATTGTTTTTTTATGGAATATACAAGTCTCTCTTCTAATTGCAGTCAATATTTAAATACTGCATACAATTTATCCTCTCTTTATAATTTATCTAGTGAGTGTTGGTTTTTTATGACATTATTTCTGTAACGAAATTGAAATGGTTATGAAATGAAATTTAAATTATTTGAACTTTTGGGGTTTTGTAACTTCAATATTAAATCTTATTTAAAGTGAAACAGCTAATTTCTTTGCAGCCATAATAGTCACATTTGGTCAGATGAAACACACTACTACCCGCACACTACTCGTCGGTGGTATAGCTTTCAGAGGAGATTCGGTGTCAATGTCAATGGCGATCGTTTAATTGGGCCGCATTTTCTACCTGAACATCTGAATGGGCCGCGTTACTAATTTTTAGTAGAATTGTTTGAAAACCTTCCCCTTCGGGCTTACAGCAAATGTTGTTAAAATATTAAAATTATGATGCTAATAAAAACTGATTTTTGGCAAGGCATGCTCAGACCTCGAGGTTCTTGCTGGGCAACAATAACAATTTAATATGTTGATTGCATAAATAAAAAATAATTTATAGCATTTTAAATTATTATTGGTTGACGTGAGCAAAACCGTTTATTTATTGTCTTTATATGAGCGAAAATATATAAATATGGCAACGTTGCATCTAGGGCGCGTTGTTCATAGGTTCATATCGTAGCCGTGCATAATATTGTGACGTCAGCCGGTCAGTAACAGCCTGAAAAGGGGGTTAAATAATGATTTGAAAATATTTTTTTTCAGCTTAAATATGCATTTAAATTTTTTTTTAATCACGCCATCGTATTATACTCATTTTTCTCTATCTGCTCTTAAAATTAATGACATTATGACTGAATCACCCTGTACATATAGATAAATTAGGTTTAAATACTCTGTTTTCACTTCTTGCTTCTACTGTGTTCATTTGGTGAATATTAGAATGATCCTGTTACTTGTTTTAATTGTATAGGCATAGGCTATACAAATGTGATTTAAATTTCCCCTCACTAAACATGATTAAAAACATTATACAAGTATATAAAAATTACAAAACTAGCTACATAGAAACTATTGCAAATTGATATTAATTGTGTTACTATTATTTCCCTTATGCAATTTTTCTGTATCTTGTTTTGTAAGTGGACATTCTCTGCATTATCACATGGCTTTGTTTAATTGTATGTTTATCTCAATCATTCTGTCTATCTATTTTTGATTATGATTCCTGTAATTGTTTTTTTTTTCTACTTTAAATAAATAGCTTATTATTGTTATTATTATTTTTCCACTATTCTCATTTATAATAATAATTGCAGATCAATCTGGTAAGGTAAGGATTTGGGACACGGTAAACAAAGAACACATCCTCAAAAATGAATTCCATCCAATTGGGGGCCCTATCAAAGACATCGCTTGGTCCCCAGATAACCAAAGGATGGTTGTTGTTGGTGAAGGCAGAGAAAGATTTGGACATGTTTTCATGTCAGAAACTGGTACTTCTGTTGGTGAAATTTCAGGGCAATCTAAACCAATTAATTCCTGCGACTTTAAACCATCAAGACCATTTAGAGTTATAACTGGGTCGGAGGACAATACTATCGCTGTATTTGAAGGACCCCCATTCAAGTTCAAGCGGACCAAACAAGTAAGTCAAATTAATTGTACATAATTCAGTGTTTTCCAAAGTTAATAGCAATAAAAATTCGTAAGAAAAAATATGATTTAATATAATAAATAATTTCATGACCAAGCATTTGCTCAATGTACTTGAAAAGGAGGTAATTAATCGATAAATCAATAAGAAAGAAAGAACATTTTTTACATTGTTTTGATTTTTTTAATTCAATTAATACTTTAATGATATGCATATCTTTATTTGTTGTTAAATATAAGAGCATTTGGACAAATTCATTAAAAATAACTATTGAACAGATCAATGGGCTGGTTATAGTTCATTACTTCTATTCACCATATGTAGAGAAACTTTTATTAAATATTTGAGTTTTACAATACAGTAGAACCTCGATTATCCTGAGCACTGAGAAATATGTTTTCAGGTGTTTTAACCATTGAACAAAAATGGGACATTTATTCGGTGTAAAACAATTGTGCAGTTTGAAATAAAAGTAAATGTATATGGAAGGGAAAGGATTGTTGTACCAATTAACCCTCTCACTTTTTTTGTGCACACATTGTTCAAATGTATTATTTTTGTAAATCAAGTGTTTCTTTTGTTTGTTTCACTTTAATAAAATTTTAATTTAATTAAAAATGTCCTGATATGTACCGATTCAGACATGTTTTTGAATAAATGTTTAATAGCCTAATTAGCTTTGAGATTGTAATTTTTTTTATTGACTTATTTATTTATCTTTAGAATAAATCATATGGTTTCCACAACTGTGGAAATAAATTATAGAAGGCTAAAATCACAAGGAGATGGTAAACATATTAAAATAAAAAAAATAATAATATTGATACGCTATGGCTTTTTTTTGAGCTCTGATATTGCGTATATGTATAATTATGTAATATGTAATTAATTTAAAACAACATTTTTAAAATTACACTATGTAAATTAAGAAATTGTTTAACCAAAACCTTTGCCAAAGTCTATATTTTTTTAAGAATGTCGAGCCTTAATCATCTCACAAAGAAAATCTTTAATATTGAGTTGAAGAGCTCTGTTTTTTTTTTTATCTGGATTAGGTAAAAAGCCATAACAAAAAACCACTATTATTACATTATACTACACTGTTACTTACATCTTTAGGATTCCAGGGTTTAAAATTTTTCGTATAAAATACAATATAGAATTTAATCCATTACCACTTTTTTTATTAAGGAACTACAGAATTAATTGTTACATACAATAAAAACAAAATAATTAAGCAAAAAATGTATACAGGGTGTCCTGGTACTTCATACAAAAAAGTCAGATACAAATAGATGAGGTAAAAATAATATCGGTTCTTCATATAAAATTTTTTCATACGAAAGGTGAATATAAGTTATTTTTATTTACAGTCTCTAAACTATTATCTTCAGCATGATGCAAATTTGATGATCGATAACACATGTGTACAGCTTGTTTTTGATGTTATAAGTGAAACTACATTATGCCCAGAACCCCAGGGACGGACTATACCCAAGGGTTACCGCATATTTTTAAAATAAGAGCCTAGAAAATCTTCCTGTCTGCTAATATAATTTTCACTAAAAAAATTTGACAAATACACTTTAAATACAGGGTGGTCCGAATTTTATGCAGGAAACTTCGAGGGCAGATAGATCTCTTTAAAATAATATGTGTTTGCCTTATAAACATAGCTCTGGAATGGCACCGTTTTAGAGATACAGGGTGTTGAAGTTGTCAAAACAAATTGATTTTTTGTTTATATCTCCGGAATCTATTAACCGATCTCAATAAAATTTGGTACATGTAATGTATGATAGTAGGTCTTATATTCCCTGAAATATGAGCTTTAAAGGTTCAACCAGTGGTGTACAACTGGACAGGGATCACCCCCTTTTTACAAAAAAACCTACGCCACTGCATTTTTTACATGTCATTGTAACTGATTTATATTTTAATGCACAAAATACGTAGAAAAGGTGACTAATTTTTTCCCTAAGATTCGCCATTCTCAAGTTATTCATACCAATACAATCCCCTTGTGGCAGACACTTCTAACGATAATATTACAAGAATATTTGTTTATGTTTGAAAGTAAGTGCAATTTGTAAGCACATCAACAAAATTATTTACACTCCTTTCTACACCACCTGTGAGGTAGTGTGCGATATAAACAAAAAATCAATTTTTTTTAAAACCTCAACACCCTGTATCTCTAAAACGGGGCCGTTCCAGACCTATGTTTATAAGGCAAACACATATTATTTTAAAGAGATCTATCTACCCTCGAAGTTTCCTGCATAAAATTCGGACCACCCTGTATAACAAAACAACAACAAACAAAACAAGAATAAGTTAAATAAGTTAAAAAAATATTGAAAATATATTTTGATAGTTTTCTTCCTTATAAATTATTTTAGGCTCTTATTTTAAAAATATGTACGCTTCTAACATAGTAATTATGTCCAATTAAAAATTAAAAACAAAAAATGGTGGAGGCGCCGCTCGATGTGCATTGACATAAAATCACAAATATTTTCTAAACTGTAAATTTTACCCTTGAACCAAGAGGGTATAGTCCGGGAGCCAGCTGCAAAACCGTTGTTATTTTCTAGATAAAAAATTTGACTTTACATTACAGTTTTTACCTCAACTAAGGTCAGGCAGTGATATGAAACTCCTAGAGCGGTAATGGTGGGTACCACCCTACCCTCCAACGCGTATGGATATTAAAAAAAATTTGTAATCTTTAAATGGACCAAACTCAAGTATAAGGCATTTGATGCTGTGTTTAGTCGATTAAAGCTAGTCAGCTGGCTCATTGATGGTAATTAGTACGTCAGCTGACCGTCGGAACAGGTGAGATGAAAAAATAATTGAAAATTATTTTTTATGTACTGAAATTGAAATATATTGCAACTTATAGTGCATATAGGGCCATAAAAATAGTCAGCTGGCCAATCGTTGGTAATAAGATCGTCAGCTGAGGCAATCAAACCCCTTGCGGCAGCGCGCTCGTGAGAACATCGAATGATATGTTTTTCGCATTAACTGACTACTCTTTTACCCATGAACCGCCAGCTGACTATGTTTTTTGCTTTGTATACACAATAAACTATCGTTTGGACCCATTTTTGACTGA